GAGAGAGAGAGAGAGAGAGAGAGAGACAGCATGAGCAGGGGAGGGTCAGAGAGAGAGGGAGTCACAGACTGAAACAGGCTCCAGGCTCTGAGCTGGCAGTCAGCACAGAGCCCGACGCGGGGCTTGAACCCATGAACCGCGAGATCATGACCTAAGCGAAAGTCGGACGCTTAACCGACTAAGCCACCCAGGCACCCCAGTTCATTAAATTTTAATCTGTAAGTTAATGTCACTAACACCCAAAGGTAAATATCCTTCAATTCAAAGGGAGAATTATAGACACCAATCCAATATCACTAACAGTATTTTTTTTTATTTTATTATTGTGACACCTGATTTGCAACATTCTTGTTTGTGCTTCTGACAGACAAGCCAGGAGAAGGTTGGTTAGACCTGGGAATTCGGGCTAAGAAGCAATAAGTGCTAATTGGTCTGTGGAGAAATTAAACCCTGTGTTGGACCTCTCCAGAATGTCTTTATGCTAAATAAACTAAGAGAAACAGCTACAGCTATTAAGCTATAGAATGTATACAAATACTTTCTATAATTCACTTCTAAACAAAACAGAAAAGCAGGGTGTGCGAAATTTTTCATAGAGAGTGAAGCATATGAAAATTAAGATTATAGAAAAAAATGTAGCTGTTGTGGTTGGTATGTTTTAACACCATGATAAGAAAATGAAATCCTTCTAGGAGAGAAGAAATGGGCATCATTAACATGTTGATGGTTATGGTACCATAACATTCTGACAGGACATGAAAATGCCACTTGTCCCATCCCTGTTATGACTTTCAAAGGGATTATAATCTCCAAATACTTTTGCCTCCTGCAGGTCTGCCACGCTGCCACATTTCAAAAATAAAACACGACCGATAAGCCAGTTCTTTTTCCTAATAACAAAGGCAACCCACCTACTGCGTGGTGAAGACGGTACCCTTGCAGGAGAGAAAGCAAGCCCCGGCGGTCTGGCTCTGGCGTCCAGGTTTCTGTTCACCACCCTGAGCTGCCCCGAGTGACTTCCCGGGCCATGCCAATATCCCTCGGCTGAACAGAAGTCAGGACTTGAACGCCATGACGTCTATGCTGGAGAAAACAACTTTGAGGTCTCTGCCCTATTTTGGTGATGTGGGAATTTATCACTATCAGGGATGGCAGTCTCTATAAATGTATTACATAGCACCCACTTTATTACTATTTAGCATCTGTTAGTAGATACAATGTAGAAACAATGTTAGTAGAAACAATGGAAAGGGAAAGAACTCTTGAGAAGAGTATTAGCAAATGCAGACAAAGCCGATTTAAAGTTTCCATTCAATAATTTTTCTCCAGATAATATATAACCCTTTTCTCTAAGTTTTCACACAGGGACAGTGACTTAACCTCTTAATCATTCTTGTTTCTCTGTTGCATCTAATAGGATGGCAGTTTAGCTTAACTGATTTCGGTGTGGGGTCTAAAAGATTTTCATATATTTGATAAACTCAATTCATGGAATTCTAGAGCACAGGTCTGGATGTTTTGTGGAGCATCTGCAAAGTGTTTAATGGATCAGGCTACTGTAAAGGAGGATTCAAACTGCAAATGACAATCAACCTCCAATCCATTATGAAAGCATTCTCATAACTGAAGGTATTTTAAAACCAATAACAATAATGATTCACAGTGATCCCAACTAAAAAAAATGTCTTGCTGTTCTTTCCAAAATTAGTATCTTGTGTACTTCAGGGTGCTCATAAAGACTTTAACAAGATGGAATAACCTAGTGATGGTAACAGGCGTGATTCCGATTTTTAGAAATGCTACTGATGCCATAACTTATTCTTTGAATATATTTAAGAATTTAAGTTATTCTTCGTACCTCACAAGGGCTCAAGGTTGTTTACAAGAAAGTGCAGTAGATTAGAAGGAAGAAGATTTATGTTCCAGCTTCCATCCCATTACTTACAAGGCTTGTGACTTATGGCAAATCACCTAAAATCCCTGAGCTCTGGTTTCCTCATTCCCACCCCTACTTCATTTAGCCCCACTGCTAGGCTATTATCGGCACAGGGCCCAACACCCAGCAGGCACGCAGTTAATGTTTGCGGGCTCACCTAATAAGACTGTTAAAAATGAAAATAAGGGGCACCTGGGTGGCTCAGTCGGTTAAGTGTCCGACTTTGGCTCAGGTTATGATCTCATGGTTTATGGGTTCAAGCCCCATGTCGGGCTCCGGGCTGACAGCTCAGAGCCTGGAGCCTGCTTCAGATTCGGTGTTTCCCTCTCTCTCTGACCCTCCCCTGCTCACACTGTCTCTCTCTCTCTCTCAGAAATAAATAAAACATTTAAAAAAATGAAAATAAAAATATTGTCATACATACCTCAGTTGCTCCAAGGTTAAAATGATAAAGTGGTATAACATATGGGAAAATTGTTTGAGAACCATATGATGCTATGTAGACATATGGTACATTTCTTTCTACAAACGGAGGAAGATGTTCTTTCTCCCATTTTTAAAACGTGGATACATTTTTGATATCTATCTTAAAAAGAAACTAAGGTAAATATGTTAACAGCTGCAAGTTATTTCAACTCACTACAGCTCATTACAAATACTCTGAGGAAAATAGGCTGTATCTACGTAAAGCTTCAGAGGGCTTCAATGACTGCTTAACATTAATCTGACTTCAGAGATAAAATATCTGTGATTTTCAATAGTGCAGGTAAACTCTTCAGACAATTCAGATTAAAAAGTCAAATGTTTCCTATAATACATTCCCTATAATACAATCATAATATATAATATCTTACCACATTTGAAATAGAGAGTTGTATGTACTAACCTTTAAAGTCTATGATATATTGTTAGGTGAAAAATGCAAACTAAACATTTATATTTATATTAAAAAACTCAACCCATATATTTCTAGGTGTTCAAATGTATATCTTGAAAAAGGCCTAGAAGGTATTCACCTAATAACAGTGATAATGATGATTATACTGAGGATGGAAGTGGAGCTGCATAAGAGCAAGCAGAGAATCTTGCTTTATTGGTATTGTTTGAAATTTGTTAATAGAAATGTGAAAAAAACAGACAAGTGCATATCAGTTCATAGACTCTGGAGCCTTACTTGAATCTTGCATCTATTTAGTTTTACACAAATAAGGGTATATTTCTTGTCCTTGCCAGGAGGGGGCACTACAGCTTTCAGTGACACAACAGGTATTCTTTTACCAAATAGGTTAAATGGTTTTCCCATAGAGAAGAAAAAGGCTCACTGGCTGACAGCACTGATATCTAATACGAAATATGATACTAAAAAAAAAAAAAAAAAAAAACCCAACAAACTAACCCACAAAATTAGAAAAATTAACAAATTATTTGTTATATTAGCAGTTATGTAAAGTTTGTAATAGACATGATTCTCATTGGAGTTACAGTATAGCTTCTAGATAGTCTACCAGTAAATAAATGAATTATTCCATTTTTAACTAGTTTTATTATTTCAACATATTTGATTTGCCCAGTCCGTTAGACAAAAAGACAGGCTGAGTAAATGCAACATGACTTCCACGACCTGCGGGGCCGGCGCACCATCACCTGACTGCTTGCAATGCTCACTGGCCGCTGACCGGCTTCATGGCTCCAAGTCTCCCCTTGGTTGTAGCACTTCTCTCCCTGAGGTTTTCCTTATTTTTGTTTGCTCATACTCTTCTTCTTCTTCCATAAGCTTCCTTTCTTGGGATAACACATTCTCAGTATACCTTCCATCATCTGGTATTCTTTCTAGCGGGTCTCTGTCCACAAGTGGCCTCTGTGGCTGTGCTGTGCTTTGTTCCTGGAATTCATAACCCACCGGCGCTTCTGTCATCCCCCTGGGGCCCCCGAGCTCGTCTGCAGGCCTCCTGGCCGGGGGCTGGTCCTCCTTCTGTTCATACATGGCCAGTCTCTTCTCAACAACCTCACGAATCAACACTGAAAAATTTTAAGCGCAAAAATCACCGACTGTTCAGATCTGAGTAGTTACAATGCTGACTTACAGAGGACTATAACGCACTCACCAGGCCTCTTCCCTTCGCTGTACTACAACCTCTTACACAACGTCGGCACATTTAACTTCTGTGCCACTTAACACACTGAATATGAATTACATTCAATGCCTGTTTTAGCAGAGTATCATATAAAGTAATGACAGAAGATATTGATTCTGACCAAATTATACAACAACCAAAACTATGATTGAGGGTAAAAATATACACCTTTTTAAATATAACTGATATAATGAAACTTTAAAAACTATAAAATTTAACATCTTTCTTCTATTCATTCTTTCTACTGCAACATTTCAGAAATGACTTTTCTTTTTTTTATTAATATTTTATTTTTTTTAGTCTCTACACCCAACACAGGGCTTGAACTTACAACCCCGAGATCAAGAGTTGCATGCTCTACTGACTGAGGCAGCCAGGAACCTCAGAAATGACTTTTCCATAAAATAAAAGAACTTACTGTCAAGCACTGTTCTTCCCACCATACTGTATTCCATGGTTTTCTCAACTTCATTCATCAGCCATGGAAGGAATCCTATTTCAATATCTATAATAAAAAAAAGTTAATTTCATTGTAAGGAAATTCATTATAATTTCATTATAATAATTAGAAAGATTTTTTTAGAAAGATATTTATAAATCATTATTGATAGGAAGAATCTGTGTTTCCCCCTAATGTTGAAGACTCATCAACACAGTTTTATTTATTTATTTTTTAAAGTTTATTTATTCTGAGAGAGAGAGAGAGAAAGAGAAAAGACATGTGAGAGCAGGGGAGGGGCAAAGAGACAAAGGGAGAGAGAGAATCCCAAGCAGGCTCTGCACTGTCAGTGTACAGCCCAACACGGGCTCGATCTTATGAACTTCAAGATCATAACCTGAGCTGAAATCAAGAGCTGGATGCTTAACTGACTGAGCCACCCAGCCTCCCCTCCCCACCCCGCACTGTTTTCTTATTACAAAGTATCAACTAGACTTATACAGCATTAATTTTGCCACATTCTCTCTGTATGTTCTGGTCCATTTACTATTTTTCTGTAAAAATAGTATTTTCAAAACTATGAAGCCTTCCTTGGAGTCCAAGCCTTTGGAGCTGACTGCACAGATACAACCTGAAGTAGAAGAAGGGACGGGGTAGGGAGCAGGTTCACGAATGGGAAGGAAGATGTGTGTCTGGGAGCAGAACTCCATCCAAATGCAACACAAATCCCGGATTGAACCAAGATGACAAAAAGAATGCTCCCATCTGAAGCCCGAGGCCCACAGGGAGCTGACCAAGGGTCAGGGGTAAAGGTCAGAAGGCATCTGAAAACAAGGCCATCTAGAAATGGGTCAGAAACTAGGTGCTTCCTTAGTAATAAATTTGTTCAAACTGAAATGGAAATCTATTCTACTGTGTGAGCCTTTAAAAAATATGATCCATTACAATATACATTTTAATGTTTCAAAATAGTTTTGGGGGGGCAGCATCTGTTACTTTTCAATGGAGTGACAATAGAGGGTGTAATAGAAAATTATATTCACTACTATAAATAATTGTTTACTCTAGGCATGAATCTCATTTGCAAGCTTCTAAATGATCTGTAACTCTTTTTAGCAATTCATGAGGGAAAAAAGGTTGCCAGCCTGTCTAACAGCAGAGGTCTCGCGAGGCCTCAGGGAGGTGGCAGTGAAGCGCAGAAGGAGCGCTGGACCTGGGGTCAGAGTCCTCGGCCGAATGGCTTTCCTGCCTGTTTGGGAGAAAGCATTGAACTCCCCTGGGCTTCAGTTTCTACTTCTGAAAAATGGGAATGAATCTGCCCTATCTGCCCCCCAGGGTTACTGGTATCAATGCTATCGTGTATGAAAAATACTACAGAAATGGTAAAGTACAATATAAACTAATAATATGTGTCTGTAATCTGGTCCCTTATGTATGTGTACTGAATTGAATCTGTTATCAGTGAAAATTGATATTACTAAACTCTGCTCCCAAATACTATTAGCCATTTGAAATAGGACCTATACACATTCCGTGGGTTTAAATGCTTTTGAACCTGAGGAAGGAAGGCAGTGGTGAGAAGACGTTCATTTGGCCTGACTAGCGGAGGGGTGGGTCGGGATGGGGTTGGGGAATAGAGAGCTGACTGGTGTGGGTTCTCTAAAGGCAGAGACAGGTCTCCCTGTTTTTCTCTCCCACACCTAACACAGGCCCTGGGATAGTATAAACACCTAACTGAATGATGACTCTCAGGGTTTTTGAGTAGAACCTGAAGTCAGCTGAGGAACAGTTAACAAGTACTTATGCACATATTTTATACATCTCGTTCCACACGTATTATGACATTTAGCTCCTAAATATCCTCATTTCTTTTTTTAATTTTTTTAATGTTTTATTTATTTCTGAGAGAGAGAGAGAGACAGTGTGAGCACGAGAGGGGCAGAGAGAGGGAGACACAGAATCCGAAGCAGGCTTGAGGCTCTGAATTGTCAGCACAGAGCCCGATGGGGGGCTCGAACCCACGAACCATGAGATCATGACCAGAGCTGAAGTCGGACGCTTAACCAACTGAGCCACCCAGGTGCCCCCTAAATATCCTCATTTCACCTGTGAGGAAATTGAAGGTCACATAGCTCACTGATGATGAAATGGGGGCCCAAACTCAAGTTTTTGACATCAAGTCCTATTTCTTTCTACTGCCCAGTGCTGCTTCTCAGTAAAGGCAAGTCCAGATCTTGATAGCATACCTCTCACTGGTAACAGTACTTACTTAAAACAACTCTAATGGACTTTCAACGTTTGTTTCAAAGAGAGATTCCAATTCAAAACAGAAACGGGCACGGGATTCCTTGGAAGCGTTATGAGGGAGCTGACGGCAGCAGAGCGATGTAACAACACCTCCACAAACCTCTTTCAATGGGGTCATAGAAGTAGCCGCCGTCCCGGAGGCTGCCGAACACGGAGGGGAGAAGGTCGGCCAGGTACTGCTGTGCGAACACGCGCGCCGCCACTTTCTGCGCCACCTCGCTGTGCTGGTGCACCACCTCCCACTGCTGCTGCTTCCGGCGCTCCTGCACGCACAAGACAGGGGCCAAGGTCACTGGGCAAAGGGACAGCAAGGAATCTACCAATGGTTCATGTTTTTCATCAAGGCTTTAGCGAATTTCAAAAAAGAATTCAAAAAGGGATGGCGCTTAAGGTGAAATGCATCTCCTGATCCACATTTAAGTAAAAGAATCTCAAGAGGCACACGGTTGACTGTATGAGTGATAGCAAAGAATAATATATAACTATTATTAGTAATTAGTATTATAATAAATGACCAATATGAAAATTATAGTTGCTCAGACATCTTCAGTTAAAGCACCTGGGCCAACAAGTTATCGTATTTGTAATGATTCTTTGAATTCATAAAGATCTGAAAATTATAAACCTCTTTTTGTTGTTGCTTCTTGTAGACCATAGGATATCTATAGAGCTAACGAACCATCTTCTCTACTCGAATGTGGAAGTGGGAACCTTAATGTAGGTTTCTCATTAAGTCTATTTTCAGAGGTCAAGCAAATATAAATTTAGATAATTTGTATTCATTATTTTCATAGTATTTCCTAATAGTAAATAAACAAGAAGTTTCCTTTGATAAGCATTTCATTATTTCAACAAAGCTAATACTGCCACTGTTCATAATATATTTGTAAACAAATGGTCTCCATTTGCATAACCTCTACCATAAGCCCTATGCTCTTTATATAATTAGTGATTCATTTTGGAGAAAAACTGAAAGTCCATTTAATTAAGTTTTGAGTAGAATATCCCAACAACTAAGCTATTCTGTGCTGTAAGTGAGACTCGGAAACTATTCAGGCACTCCTACATAATTTATCCACTCGGTGTCCAACAGAGGGCGACAATTATTGCCAGACCCAGAAAAACTTAAAAATTACTGAGCCTAGTGTTTCTTAACTGAAATTTATTGGCATATTTTAAAAACTAGATTCTAAAACTTTTCTTATTAAAAGCTCTAAAAACCTGTAATGTAAAGCAATATTCTACAAAGAAGTTCTGGAGAATCCCTAGGGCATAGAGAGGGGCCTGGCCACTGAGAGAAAAGACCCAGAATTCTATCCTGATCCTCTGCTTCTGCACCCCACCCATCCCCAATCTAGTCCACTTTCCCTTCCACTTTTCTGCTAGCGATTTATGGCAAAAGCAATGCATTTCCTTTGCTAGGAATCTTGATATGTAAGAGTGCCTTTCAGGGAATGTAAACTGGTACAGCCCCTCTGGAAAACAGTGTGGAGGTTCCTCAGGAAACTAACAATAGAACTCCCTTATGACCCAGCAATAGCACTGCTAGGAATTTACCCAAGGGATACAGAAATGCTGAGGCATAGGAGCACATGTACCCCAATGTTCATAGCAGCACTCTCCACAATAGCTAAAACATGGAAAGAGCCTAAGTGTCCATCAACAGATGAATGGATCAAGAAGATGTGGTTTATCTATACCATGGAATACTCCATGGCAATGAGAAACAATGAAATCTGGCCATGTGTAGCAACATGGATGGACCTTGAGGGTGTTATGCTGAGCGAAATAAGTCAGGCAGAGAAGGACAAATACCATATGTTTGCACGTATAGGAGGATTAGGAGGAACTTGACGGAGGACCAAGGGGGAGAAGAAGGGCGGAAATGGTGGGGGAAAGGGAGAGAGGCAAACCATGAGAGACTCTTGAATGCTGACAAAAACTGAGGACTGATGGATGTGGGGGGGAGGGGGGGATGGGCATGAAGGAGGGCACTTTGGGGATGAGCACTGAGTGTTATGTAGAAACTAATTTGACAATAAACTATTTGTAAAAAAAAAAAAAAAAAAGAGTGCCTTTCAGTTGGAACATATGTAATTACAAATGAAATTAAATGTAATTATAAATGTAATTAAAATTACATTTAGAAACTTTTGGGAACTCTATTTAGGTACATTTATGCAAGCTGGTATTAAAGAATGTGATTTTGTGCGGAGAAGATCTGTGGTCTATTGGAGATAACTGAGCAACACACTCTGTTCTAACATATTTGTGAAGACCTTGAGCTCTATGACATACCACATGTGATTCAGAATGTAATCTGTTAAATAGCCAAAGACTGTCTAAGAAAGAAAACTAGATTCTATACTTTTTCTTCTCTGTGTCGTCTCTCTTGCTCTTCAAGTCGCTGAACTTCAGCAAGTTCGACATTGCGTAACTCTTCATACGCATACTGAGTGGCCCGCAGGTTAGCCAACTCTTCTTCTTCCATTACTTCCAAAAGAGACTGTTCAATGGTCTTTCCAACCAGAACTTCTAACATTGGTTTAACTTCAAGATCAAAGTCAAAGAGCTTAAACACACAAAACAAAGCAAATTTAAAATTTTAATCATGAACCAAATGCTCAAAGAAACAATATCCAGAAAAGTAGTAATGACAGTACTATTTACTGAGGATCTTCTGTGTGCTAGATACTGTGATGGTGCTTTGCTTAATGGTTTCCAATACTCAACACTACTCAGCAGGGCACACAGAATAAGCATTTCGTTTACAGGCAAAAATCATTTTGAGTCAAAATTATATGAAGACATACGCAGTCATAAAAATGAACTGATACTTAACAATTTTAAGACCAATCTCTGAAACCTGAAAGAATTATCCTTATATTTCTTATTTTTTGCCCTTTCTACTCAATTTTTACTGGTTTGTTTTTACTAACACTTTGAAGAACTAAGGAACAAAATAAAGGGCATTTTGGTGATTTCTCTCCAGGGTTTACAGGCAAATATACCCTTTGATGTAGTTTGTGAAGACCTATTTTATTTCCCAATTTCAGTGGAAGTTCTTTCAAGTTCCTTCAAGTCTTAAATCTCACTCAAGTCATTATGCACATAAGCATTGCTTCTCTTCCTCCATTTCATAAACTGACTTATTTATGCATTCTACATTGATATGAAAATGTAATTATTTAATCTTTTTCTAACATAGATCATGTTTGTGAAAATTGTGTACTTTACAAGCAACTAACAGGGGACCTATTATAAAAATAGAGATACCATTTTTCTTTATTTGGTACAAATTTAGCTTGTATTCAAACATTAATCAAGTATGCAAACACACAAAAGCAAAGTGCAGATATTCTAAAAATATTTCTAATGATTTTTATTTCTGATCAGCAAAGAGGGGAAATCAGAATATGGTATTTCGGGATAAAACTATTATAAGTACATTTGGAAAGAAATCCGATAAGCAGAATCTTTCTGGTTAAGAAGTGTTTTGTAAGCTTTTAACTAAACCTAACTTGATCTTTATAAAGAAGATAGAGGGAAGTCCAGATAATGTATTATACCTCTCCTTCCAGTATTTGGGTGGCCACATCTCTGCCAGTTTTGGCAGGAATAAAGAGTGGTGTTGGTGGTCTGTCCAAAAATGCATCTGTTTGACATTCCATATCAACTTCTATTATGCGGTCAGCAATTTCTTCAAGGTATATTTCTAAGGGAATACCATATACATTGAGTTTGAAATCCTGGTCTATATCAAGCATGTATGTGTATTGAAACTTTAGCTCTTTCAAAACAGAATTAAATGGATCAGAAAAGAAGTGCTCAAATGTGGGATTAAATTCACATATTGTACTAAGCATTTTTAGGTATTTGGAAGACCAAAGAGTCAGTCAGGCTAGGACATTTATCGAATGTTGAAAAAACACTGAGCTTTGTACCTGAAGCAGAACTAAAGAAGAACATGAAGCCTAGATGTTTGTAAGATGCAAAGTATAACTGGGGATGGAAAGTTAATAATCCATTTGTATAACTGATTTCTAAGATAGTAAATGTGTAAAGATTTGAAAATTCCTGGATATTTAAATGATTATGCATCAGGTCACTATCTTACTTGATGTTCCCTCTAGGCTATAGATTATAAACAGATATATGAAAACAAATTTCACTTAGGAATAATTTATGTGAGGCAAGAGCAGTATGGTTATCATGCAAAGAACATGAGAACTGGAGTCAGATGTTGAACATAGGACCTAATCAAGTTACATCTTCTGAGAGCCTTAGTTTCTTTATCTCTAAAGGGGATCATAATTATCCATCACAAGGAATCCTTTTAATAAGAAAGAAAGGAGATACACAGGTAGAGGACTGGAATAGTTTCTGAGAGGTAGGGAAACCCAACACAAGGTGGCTGCTCTTGTATCCTTAATATTCTGATGGTATAAAGAAACACTAAAATTTAGCTCTTAGTGATTTACAACTATATTGGCTAATTACTGACGTATCCTCCTTCTAGACTTGGCCCCATTGCAGGGGGAAAAGGCAAGGAATGGTTCTCTTCCTTTTGCCCTAACTACCCAGAAATAGCTGATGAAGCCACTCACCATCTTGGCAAGGTGCAAAGTGAATCCTTAATAGTTAGATCAGTCCGAGGAAAATACCAAGTATTGTCTGATTACCAAGATTTTGACAACAACACAGCTAGGACCTCTGGGTCCAGGTAAGCCTCCCCAGCTCAGAACAGTCAGACAAGCAGGAAAGCCTGGCACTGGCCAAGTGGAGCCAGTGTGGCCTGGGGAGTACGTGCAGTGAAGGGAGATTAAAAGGAAAGAACAGAAAAGACCGTGGTGAGAGAGTTGGAGGACTCAGATCTGGATGAGTTCACTCCTCTTAAAAGACAGACAAAATGCCAAGACAGAACTGCACTCTCTCTTCCCATGTAGGTCCAGCCGTGATTCATGTTGGGCTATACAATGAAAAAGTGAGAAATAATCACAGTTTGAGAAACGAGTATGGGAAAAGGGCTAAGACAGAATTAATTTGGTCATCCAATTCTTTTCTAACCCCATCTCATACCCGATATAATAATACAGTCTATGAATTTGTTTAACGAAAGGACTCCTACTACCATGTGATCAGGGCAGTACTGCATAGCGTAACCGATACGTAAATAATGTAAAAGCCAAATAAAAAATGAACGGACTTGGAAAACTGGGCAAACCAAGGAGTCATGATGTCAATGGCACGGCCACATACCTGTCTGCACATCCACGTGCTTTCTGCCTTCCACGGGCTCGGGTGTTTGTGGTCTGAGCTGTTCTTGGGCTCGTTTTTTGGCAAGAGCCCTTCTCTTAGCCCGCTGCTGTCTCTGAATCTCTAGAGGATCAGGCTGCCCAGGCTGAGTGACAGAAAAGGCTTCTACAAGTTAGAAAATCTTTCTCAAAGCATATGGAACTGCTATTGCAGAAGTGATTCCTGGATAGCGTAAAAGTATCTGTCATATAATGCTTCCTGATTTAATGATTAAAATTCTATTTGAACTTTGTCAGGTAATTATAAAGTTATCTGATGAAGCACTTAAGTAACTTCAAAGTATGACTGTTAACTGGAATAAATAGCGGCAGAATCCTATCTGATAAGTTGTTTTCCCTCATTCAATCATTTTTACCATGAATTTCTTGTATGTTTAGTAACCTAGTATACTATATAACTACTCAGTAGTTAAGGAACTGCAAAGCACTAGGATTTTTTTAAAAAATCTGAATTTCATTTAGACAAAATTTCCTTAAAAAATATATTAGCTCAGAAAGAAAAATCCTTAGTCCAAACAAAGCCTATCCAAGGGCACAAAACAATAGGTGACTAAGGCATTAAAAATATAATTATTCACAGTAGTTCTGCAATATTTGGAGGTCCTTGATTTCATATCTATATCTCATTTTCCGGTCATTTAAAAATATTTTTTAGTGTTTATTTATTTTTAGAGAGAGAGAGAGAGAGACAGAGTGCAAGTGGGGGAGGGGCAGAGAGAAAGGAAGACACAGAATCCAAAGCAGGCTCCAGGCTCTGAGCTGTCAGCACAGAACTCGACACGGGGCTTGAACTCATGAACTAGGAGATCATGACTTTGGCCAAAGTCAGACACTTAACTGACTGAGCCACCCAGGCATCCTTGTCGCCATTTCATATAGCTAACCTGTCTTATCTCAAGGTAAATATGAAGAAAGGGGAACTATGAAAGTATTATGCATGAAAACATTTTTAATATTTAAAATTAGAATTGTAAAAACATTTTAATTGAAATAACAATGTAATAACATTAAAATTTTTAAAAAGAAAGTATCCCATAATCCCATTTCTCTAATACAATGGCTATTGTCATTTAAATGCATAGAGGTTTCTGAAGTTGTGATAATCATACATTTTATATGGTTTTTCCTAACTTACTGTCATAAACTTTCCCCATATGTTCATTAAATAGTGGAAAGAAAACCATTGGGCTCTGAAGCTCAGATTTCAACTCTTCAGTTTATTAATTGCTAGGATTAGTAAAGTTTAGACTAACAACCTAAGCTTTCAGATATCCTGTTTTCTCTATATAATAGGAATACCAATAATATCTATCTAAAGTTTTTGTTGCAAGGAACAAATCAGATAATGTAACAAGGCTAACACAATGCCTGACATAGAAAAGCTCTTCCTCTATGCAGTTACCATTTCCTTTTATTATAAAATAATTTAACCATATTTCATTAAAAAAGAAGAAAAAAGAATCACTTATACTTCCATTTTTTAAAATATAATTACTAATATCATAGTATTATTATTGGGATCATCTAGTAAAAGCTTTTTTTCCTGTGTATACCCTCTACATTATTCTAAATATCATGCTTGACTTATTTCCATTTTCTTAATGGAACAGAACTATTAATGTCAGCTCTGGAAAGATTTGGGATAACATAAATACAATAAATTCATTTTAGAAATACATTGCCCTCCTTAACTGTTTCATAATCTAGTAAAAATATTTTTTATAAAATAACTTTTTTAAAAGTTTTATTTTGAAATAATTTACCAAAGATTGCAAAAAGAGTAGATAGAGTCCTTTGTACCCTTCACTCAGCTTCCTGCAATATATAATTTAGATAATTTCAGCACAATATCAAAATCAGAAAACTAACACTGGTAAAATATTAACAGATATTATTCAGTTTTCACAAATTTCACATGCATTGATTTGTGTTTATGTCTGTGCATATAGTTCTATGTGCTTTTATCCCAAATATAGATTTATGTAATTATTACTCAATCAACAGAGGGATCTGTTTTACCACACAAAGGAGCTCTCTTGGGTATTCCTTTATATTTCTTAAGTCCTACATTTACTCCTATCCCCTGGCAACCACTAATCTGTTCTCCATTCTCTATAGTTTTGTCTTTTTGAGACTGTTACATGTAAGGAATCATATAGTATATAACCTTATGAGATTGGCTTTTTTCACGAAGCAAAATGTCCTTGACATCCATCCAGGTTGTTACATGTATCAATAGTTCCTTCATTTTTTTGTTACCAAGTAGTACCTCGTTGCATGGAATTGCCATGTTTCTTTAGCCATTTACCTATTCTAAGACACTTTGGATGTGTATTTGGTTTTTGGCTGTTATGTATAAAGCTGCTGTGAATGTTTGTTCATGTACAGGTTAAATTTTTAAAAGTTTGTTTGTTTTATTTATTTAGAGAGAACCAGCAGGGAAGGGGTAGAGAGAGAGGGGAACAGAGGATCTGAAGCAGGCTCTGTGCTGACAATGGAGAGCCTGATGTGGAGCTTGACCCCACCAACTGTGGGATCATGACCTGGGCTGAAGTCAGATGCTTAACCAACTGAGCCACCCAGGCGCCCTGTACAGGTTTATATGTAAATATAAGTTCCCATTTCTCTGGGATAATGTCTATGAGAAATTGTGGAGTCAAACAGTAAGAGTTCGTTAGTTTTTATAAGTAGCTACTAAACAATTTTCTAGAGCAAACGTACCATTTTACATTTCCATCAACAATGCAGGAGAGTTCCAATTGCTCCACATTCTCACAAACATTTCTTATAATCGCTATTTAAACGTTTCAGCTTTTCTTTTTAATTTCAGCCTTTTCTAACACGTGGGTGGTTATATCATTATAGCTTTAATTTGTATTTCCTTAATAGTTAATATAATGTTGTTTTTCAAAATGTGCTTATGCTATCCATATCTTTTCTTTGCTGAAATATCTGCTCATGTATTTTGGCTGTTTTCTCACTGATGATGATGATGATGATTTTAATGTTTATTTATTTTTGAGAGAGAAAGAGACAGAGTGTGAGAGAGGGAGGGCCAGAAAGGGAGACACAGAATCCAAAGCACACTCCAGGCTCTGAGCTCTGAGCTATCAACACAGAGCCAATGCGGGGCTTGAACTCACAAACTGCGAGATCAGGACCTGAGCCAAAGTTGGGTGCTCAACCAACTGAGCCACTCAGGCACCCCTGAATTGGAACTCTCCTGCATTGTTGATGGAATGTAAAATGGTACGTTCGCTCTAGAAAATTGTTTATTTTTAAAAATAATAAATTAAAATAATTAATTGTAAGAAATGTTTGTGAGAATGTGGAGCAATTGGAACACTAGAATTCTTGAGAGAGAGAGAGAGAGAGAGAGAGAGAGAGAGAGAGCGCGAGCACAAGCTTGGGAGGGGCAGAAAGAAAGAGAGGGAGACACAGAATCTGAATCCAAAGCAGACTGTAGGCTCTGAGCTATCAGTTAGCACAGAGCCCAATATGGGGCTCAAACTCACAATCTATGAGATCATGACCTGAGCCCAAGTCAGATGCTTAACTGACTGCACCACCCAGGCACCCCTCAAAAGTTTTTAATTTTGATTAAGTCCAATTTACCATGTTTCTTCTCTGGATTATATTTTGGGTATTATATCTAAGAACTCTCTGCTTAGCCCTAGATTCTGAAGTGTTTCTCCTAAAAGTTTATAGTTTTACATTTTACATTTAAGTCCATGATCCATCTGAATTAATTTCTGTATATGGTGTATTATTTAGGTTGCAGTTCATGTAGTTTTTCTGTCCATGGATGTCCAATTGTTCTAGCACTGTTTGTTGAAAAGTCTATCTTTCCACTATTGAACTTCTTTATCCCTTTGTCAAAATTTAGTCAAGTGTATTTGTGCTGGTATATTTGAGTTTTCTATTCTGTTTCATTGGTCCCTATATCTATTCATCCACTGCCCTGTCTTAATATGATTACTAATATCATATATAATAAGTCCTAACCTTGGGTAGAGCAATTCCTACCACTTTATTCTTCTTTTTCAAATTTTAGAATAAGATTGTCTAGGCCTGCATAAATCTTGTTGAAATTCTGATAGAAATTGTGTTATACTTACAGATCAATTTGGGGAGAATTAACATCTTTACTGTGGTGACTCTTCCAGTCCAGGTGCATGCTATATCTCTCCATTTCTTTAGATTGTCTTGATTTCTTTCATCATTTTGTAACTTTTATCTTATAGATCCTGTACATGTTGTGTGAGATTTACTAGGTATTCCAGGTGTTTTGAAGTGATTGTAAATGGTATTGTGTTTAAAATGTTATTTTCCATGTGTTCCTTTCTAGATTTATATTTCTGACTGATTTTTGTGTGTTGACCTTGTATCTGTGATGTTACTCAACCCACTTATTAGTTCTAGGGCTTTTTTTTTTTTTTTTTTTTTTTTTTTTTTTTTTTTTTTTTTTTTTTTTTTTTGTCATCTGCAATTAGGGACCGTTTTACTTTTTGCTTTCTGATCTGGATCTAGTACTGGATAGAACTTCCAGTAATATGCTGAATAAGAGTAGTGAGGGTGGACACTCTTGNCTGACTGATTTTTGTGTGTTGACCTTGTATCTGTTTTGTTACTCAACCCACTTATTAGTTCTAGGTTTTTTTTTTTTTTTTTTTTTTTTGTAGATTGAGATTTTCTATGTATGTAAAAATGTCATCTGCAATTAGGGACCGTTTTACTTTTTGCTTTCTGATCTGGATCTAGTACTGGATAGAACTTCCAGTAATATGCTGAATAAGAGTAGTGAGGGTGGACACTCTTGCCTTTTTTTCCCAGTATAAGGGGGAAAGCATTCATTCTTTCATCGTTAGATATGATAGGTAAGTTCTAGATATTTTGTGGATGCTCTTCATAAAGTTGAAAAAATTTCCCTCAATTCTTAATTTGCTGTGTTTATCATGAATGAGCACTGAATTCTGTTAAATACTTGTTCTGCATCAATAAATATGATCACTGGATTTTTTTTCTTCTTTAACCTGTATGATATGGTGGATTACATTGATTTACAAATGTTGGAACATCCTTGCCA